TGGTCGGCTTTAGAGCGCATGGAGGAGGACAGTTAGTTTTTTGTATTATTCAACAGCCGAAAGGTACCGTTCAACAGTTTATTGATATTTATGCGAAATCGCCGTTCTTAATCTTGCTCATATTTCCCCGAAAATATATCATGTCAGTTGTCCATCATTTCTACGTCAATTCCCAATGCTGGGCTTCCGGATTCCAGGACAGCTCTATCCGTAAGGATTACATCTCCAGTAGATATAGCGAGCAGCAACGTAAATGTACAGTGAGCGAAGCAAGCATACGCGCCAAGGTCAAGTGATTGCGAGCGAAATACTCATCGTGCGCGCGCGATGCCCTCAAAATAATTTTTTCGCAGAGCGCTGGGATTTTGCAAAGAAGTCGGGATCGATGCATACCCGACTAGTATATACGATCAGACTACGAGTCTTATACTAGTACATTGAAATACTCTTTTAAAAATAATAGAAACCGCTCAGGGCATGCCGGCACTTCAACTGATCTCTTTTAAAAATTTGTTCGAAAATTTGATGAAGAAAAATCTCACGCCCTATGGCATGAGATGCATGTTTTGTTTTGTTTTGATTTTTATTCTTATTTAACTAGGGAATTCCCAACAGGCGTCATCGCCTTCTTACAGAGAACCCTAAAAAAAGTCTTGATGGATGAACGAAATTCAGCAGGTGAATTAGAAAGGCGGTAAGCAGGTGGCAGTGCATTCCACCGGTCAGCGCCTACGTAAGAAATTGCACTGAAACCATAGCTGGCATAGGCTTAGCCGCGTGTGCTAGCAGGGGGTAAAACAAGCGCGGCAGACACCATGATTGTTATTTCTGACGTGACGCGAAAGTAACTTCAGCTCGCGTTATTTGGCTCGCGCGTCGAAAAACAACGCCAGTGGTGACCTGCAGCTCACGTCAAAATTTGGAGATTTACGCCAAATTTGAAGTGAAATTGTGCGTCACGTCGGAAATAACGTGCATCTTGACCTCTCTACTACATGTATCAGGTTCGGCCTCATTTTCTCTGTGCTGCGCTGATGAGTCCACAAAGCGCGTCAAAGGACGAAGCAGTTCTGTCCCCAGATTGAGTTAGGCATGGGCGAGTAATGCTTAGGCACCGGCGGATTATGCCGGCATACTTATTGGCATAATTTGGTGGTTGAGAATTTGGAGCATAATTTGGCATCCTCTCGGAGGTAGGAGCATAACTACACGATTATACCACAGTTCTAGTATGTAGGCTATACAATTGTGTACAATGCACGTGATCAGTGCTGGTGGTCTGCATGGTAAAGGGTTCGGAGGTCATGCGGATAGTGTTTTCAACGAAAAGCAGGGTAGAAATCATGGCAAGACAGTATTTGTATGCTCGAACTCGTCTTCTTCAAAGTTCTTTCTCACACTGACACTGTACATGATGTAGCAGAAGATGCGAGTGAATCAGCCTTCAGCAGGTATCCCGGGGCGGACGAGATAGTGGCGGGTAGTCCGCAAAACTCCGTGTACATGTACATGTACATTACAGTTGTACATTATGCATGTTACGAAGTCATGACCTCTGGATTCTAGCAGTCATTATATGACTGCAGGCTATCGATATTGCTCGAAATTGATGTATACTTGATGTTCGGTCATGATGGAAGGAGAAGTTATGGCAGCAAATAACTAGCATTACCCGGCCATGCCTAGATTGAGTAACACATTATACTCGTGCATGCACATGTATACAATTTACTCCTCTTGATCTACTTTTTCAGTCCGCAGATTGAGTACTTTTTCAGTTCGCAGATTGAGGACTTTTTCAGTCCGCAGATTGAGTACTTTTTCAGTTCGCAGATTGAGTACTTTTTCAGTCCGCAGATTGAGTACTTTTTCAGTCCGCAGATTGAGTACTTTTTCAGTCCGATTACTTCAGATACTCGTAGCTTACGGTTGGGATTTTTGTAGCTCCAGTCAATGACGGCTTTTTGGTAGTTTATGCTAGCGGCCTTGTGCCTGTCAAACGTGCCTCATGATGCAGAGTGGACGATGTTGCCGCTGCAACGGCAAATCCACCTGTGTCAGGTGTGAATGCAACAAGGCTGGCCGCCTTTGCACAAACTGCTATCCTTCGGCGAAGGATCATTGCCGAAATCGAACCCCAACACCCAGCTCCCAGTCGACAGTTGGGGAGGCTCGTACAGGTAGCAGTTTTGAAGCTGCTACGGGAACCAACGGACGTACAGATGATACGGTAAATGTCACGGATCAACAGCCGCAAGAAACTCGCGGATCGGCCACAATGCAAGTGGCTGTCGAGCAGAACGCGGACGAGATCA